ACCAAATTTTTTTTTAGATATCTGTAAAAAACAGTTAATTTAAATAAAATATCAAATAGCAACAATAATAAACAATAAAACATTAAAATATGTCAAGTTTTGATTGTTTATAACATGTTCAAAGATTATATTCCAAAATGTTAGGTGTTTCCATTATTTTGTCCAACCCCTGTATATATAAAAGTCGTGCTTTTTTTTTTGGTAATGCTAAATGATATACATCGTCGCTTAGCAACAGAACTGCCACTTGTTATTGTTGTTTTTTAAGACTCATAACGTAAGTAAATTAATATGTAGAATTATACACGGACTTTTCTCTACCTTAAGACAACAATGGTGTTTATGTTGATAAAAAGGTTTGTTTAACTATTATAGGATGTTGTAGAAATTATAACTACAAGCACTAAAACGATCAGACTCATAATCATAATATCTGGTTTCCTATTTTATTGTATATATTTTTAAAGCATAACATCAAACACATATCATTTTAAATACTTCGTAGGCAAAAAAGCATAGAAAATGAATAGTATACAAAAGTCAAAAATCACTGTTCCTTCACAAAGCTAGTGATGTCATAGTTTGATATGTATAGAATACCAGGGACTGGATTGGACGTGAAATTTCTATGCTTTCAATAAGTCGATCCCGTATGATTGGTGAATTTCGAAAAGAATGAACTTCCTCAGTACTTTATTAGGGTTTGGAGTGGACATGAAATTTCTCTCTCTCTCTCTCTCTATATATATATATATTCATAAACGATTCCATCTGATTTGTCAATTTTTAGTAGAATCAACCCCTTTCTCCAATTTACCAGGGTCTAGATTGGACATGAAATTCCTATTTTGTTTCTTATAAGTCGACCCCGTCTGATTGGTCAATTTCCAGAAGAATCAACTCCCTCTCCAGTTTATACAATTCCTCCCGAAGTTTTTCAGCTTTTTGTCTTTTTTCATTGACGAGCTGCTTGAAGCCACTTTCTCTATCTTCGGGGTCACGTGATGACCTATTCGATAAGCTAACATCATTCGGAAACAAAGGTCCCGGTTCATCAGACTTAGATTCGTTTATTTCAGCAAAAATGTCTTTCACTGATACAAAGCAGTCATCTGGAGAGGATAGTAAACTGGAGTTAGGAGGTGCTGTTACCCAAGTATCTTCACTGACGATCAAGTCACCAATGGAACTAGATGAAGAGAGACTGAACTTAGCTGTTTTATTCAATTTTGTGTGTTCGTGTTCACCACTCATATGACCAGTGTTGGCCAAACGAGTGTCCGAACGCCTCTCTCGACTGTTCTGTGGTAAGTTTTCTTCTAGACTGTACATTGATGTTATTTGTCCAAGGGCGGGGTGAGAACGACATTGACTCACACAGCTAGTTTGCTCGTTTTGCTTTTCCCCCGATATTATGATTGTCGGTAAACTCCCTCGAGTGGATTCGGGGGTATTTTGGTTTAAACTCAGGCGACGGAGTTTTTGTTTCTGAGGGGCTTGTTGTTTTGATGTATACAGCCTGTTAATCTGTACCGATTTTCCTTTGACACCTCCTTTAAAGTTGCCTAGGAACGAAAAATTGAAAATTCCCATCCCCCGAGATTGACTGACGTCACTTCCTGTAGACCCCGTTTTGTTCTCTTGGGTAAGAAGAGTTGTGCTTGGATTGTCAGGACAGTTCACCTAAAGAAGAATATAAAGTTATACTATTTCTATAATTCCCACAGATATAATCCTCTTTGAATATGGGGTTAGAAAAACGTAGCCTATAGCTTGTGAACCATTTTGAAATATTCTGACAATTACATCTCAAGTTCTTGATGATTTAAAAGGATGCTTGTAATAACTTTCAGTAAGGTGTTTTCGATATACTTTGTGATGCAATAAAATCAAGACATACGGTAGAGTGTCGTGCGGCCAAAACAACCTGCAGGACACACTGTGTGTTATTAACAGGAGTGATAGTTCAGCGATTTTCCACCTTCTGTAGTTCGAACTGTGGTAATCCAAACTATCACGTATTTACAGTGGATGTGCCTTACTGGATTCTTACTTCATATATCAAATTTTCAAGGCAATCCATTAAGAAATACACGAGATATAAAATCTCCAATTTTGATTGAATTTTTTTCTTTTCTTTGCACCGAAAGTATGGAAACTTTATTTTATAGAATGCTAATAGAATATCCATAACTTTTATGGATTTTTTTTTTTTAATTTGGAACACTAATATTTCTTTACAACC